GAAAGGCCCGTGAAGTCCCGGAGCATGTATTCTCCATTCTTCTCGCCATCCACGACAGTCAGAAACTGCCCAAAGCCGCTCATGAGCTTCGGAGGTTCAGTGAAGAACCCAGTTGACATCGAATTGCCGCTCATGACACTTCGTGCTGGTGAGCTGGCTGAAGATCCAAGCATCTTTCCTTTCTGAGGGCATTCTCGTGACCAATGCCCGATCTGTTTGCATTGGTGGCACCTGGTCTTCGACTTGATCTCGCTGAGGGACATGCGAGATCCCTGACGCTGTTGCCAAGGGCGGTCATAGCCACGGCCATTTCTTGAAGCTTGCAACAGCCGCCGATGCTCCAGGTGGCCACCGCCTCCTTTGCCATGACTAGGTGCGCTCTGCCCATAGGTGCGAGCTGGGTGCTTGCCTTTTCCACCTTTTCCTTTCTTGCCTTTGCCACGGCCTTTTCCATGATGAAGCCGGTTCTGAAACTCATAGAACACCTCCTCAAGGCCACTGCCGAAGGTCTCAATGGCCTCATGCTCATCCATCACCACAGGAAGTTCCTGCGGGAACACCAGCTGTGCTTCCGAACCATCGTCGTTCAGGGCGATGAGGTCTTCAAACCAATCTTCTTCTTCTTCATAAAACTCACCACATGTCGAGGCGGCTGCCTCATCATCCCAGTCGGCGTCATCACCCTCCTCATCGAAGTAGGCGTTGCTTCGCCAACGACGAGGGTGGTGAGGATGTGGTGCCTCATGCTGCGCATCATCAAGCTTATCACCAAACACCTTCTGAATTGCCAGCTCTAGATCCTTGAAGTCTATGGATCCATTTGTAACCACCTTCAGGCGCTGCTTCTGGTCCTGGGAGAATGCGCCTTGTCGAAGGATCAAATGGCCAAGAAGGTGCCGGCCGGCAGAGGTCTCCAAAAGGTCGAGACCTTGTTTTCGCAATTCCGCGAAAGCAGCACGCTTGCTGGTGAGGAAGGCTGTGAGCGAGGTGCCTTTGTCTCTCTTGCCTCGGAAAATCGCCTCCTCGAATGCTTGCTCCAATCTATGATCTTTCAAATACTCATGAGCACTTTCGATGAGACCCACAATGATCTTATGCCCATTCTCAGCCGTGATCTCATCGACAGTGAGGTGCGCGAGCAATGCCGACAGCTTTGAACCCAATGGAATGCTATCCAAGATACGCTTGCCGATCAGGTTGTGCGGCAAACGAGCTTCGGCCTCAACCAGCCACAACTGCAAGTTGCGCTGGTACTCTTTGAAGTTCTTCTCAGGCTGATCTCCGCCCCAGACTGGAGCGGGGTCCAGCCGGTAGTCCACATACTTCCGGACAGAACCATCCTTAGCATTGCTCGGCGTCCGCACCGGTGAACTTCGTCCCGCTGCCAAAGCATCAGCCCAGGGATCACCATGGAGGAGTTCATGGTCGGCTTGAACAGGTACTTCCGAAGGCTGAAGATCAAGTGGTCGGAGCCCACTTGCCGATGCGGGCCTCAGAGGGGATGCGATCGGAGCAGGCGATGGTGTAGAGGCCTGTTGTGGTGGCGTGGCCGCCGGAGTCTTAGGAACAGGAGCTGCTGGAGTTGGTGAGGCAGTCATCCTTGTTGATGTTGCTCCAACTCCGCCACGCCAAGTGCGCTGAGCGCCATTCCCAGACATTCTGGTACTGGAAGGGCTCCACCACGTAGGCGAAGAGCTTATTGAAGGTCAAGACCAAGAAGTGCTGGCGTAGTTCGCCGCAAGGAGAATTGGGTCTTGTAGTCGGCCAAGTTCAGGCCAAAGCCAACCAGTGAGGTTGGAAGGAGAAAACACAAAAGCAGGTCCAAGGGCTCAACCCAAAGTCAAACTTGCCGTCGAAGGCCTCGTCAACGAGGAACAAGAAGTCGCGATGGTCGGGTGGGGCGTCCCCCACCAGATCTCGGAGTCGACTCGGAGCCCAGGTCGTCACCCGGGCTCCGCTACCATGAAGTGCGGAGACTCGCAAAACGCCCCTTTTCTCAAAGAGAAGGCTCAAGGGCCCTGTCGGTCGATTTGGGCCGAAGGGGCACGGAAGGATCAGTGATGGTGCTGGGCTAACATGCATGGTTTTCCACAACAAGTATATACAGTATATGCATATACATATGCATGTACACAATAAACAACAATTCAAGTAAAATAAACACTACAGTATATATATATATAATAATGTCATCATATGTAAATATGTGTATGTATATATATATATGTGTGTGTGTGTGTCTCTGTGGAGAAATGGATGTGGCGTCTGTCTCCTAAGCCCCCATCCAAGTGGACCCAATCCCAACTAACCCAATTCTACTTCAAGCAAATCTACTGACTTGTGCGTGGTAGGGAATGAGGGAATGGATCCAATGGAATCTCTCTATTGAGGGGCTCATGCCCTTACTCTCTACAAGTCGCACTCGTCAGTCTATGGAATATCCGGAAGTTCTCGGCTCTTTCCTACCTCTTGGTTGTCACCTCGGGAGCCTTTCAGCCCCAAACACCCCAACCGCCGCACCTGGAGCGCCGTGGAGCTGCGCAACGGGTTCTTCGCCACACCGGCGCTGCGGCGACCCGCGCGTGAGGAGCTGCGCTTCCAGGTCACCAGGGAGCCCTCCAGCATGACGTCACCCTGAAAGCCGCGCGGAGCTTCTCACCCAAGAGTCACGAACCTCCACCCACAAAACAAGAAGGGTCCGTTTTTAATTGGTGAAGTTGTTTGTTTCGCTTGGTTTTTGTTGCGGCCGTGGTGCCCCTATAGTTCCTGTGGAAGTGGACAGTCACCTGTTTCTAGAAGAAAGGCCTTCCACGAGGTGTTCCACTGATTTCGCCCGGCGAAATCCCATTGGAGCGACATGATGAGCCAAGCCAAATCGGCCGAAGGGTGAACTAACATGTGACCAGTGCGTGTTTGTTTCACCTTACGGGACAACCAAAGTGCATCATATGGAACAAACCTCTGAATACTACACCAAGTAATGCGAAGAATGTACTTCACCAAACCGGCAGAAAGCAACAACAGCTTTGTTCACTTGCTGCGGCACCAGCTTGCTGCGGCACGGCTACCAACACCCCGAGACGCAGCGCACGCGGCCGAACACACCTGGCAGCAGCACACCGCACCCTCCAAATCTCTGGCCCCTCACCCACCAGCACCGCTCCAAAGCGCAGAACCCCAATAGCTCTCGCTATCTGTGGAAACTATAGAAAGCTATTAACAAACTCAAGGCTTGAAAAGCCAGACATGAAAAGCAACAAAGCAATTGCAGTAACAAACGGGGAAATTGACCACACGAAGACAAGAAGCAGGAAAGTAAGGAAAAGCAGTAGAGAAGCAAGGAAAAGGAAGATAGCACAAAAAAGCAAGAAAAGCAAGGAAAGGAGGAGAAATCACAGAGAAGCAATGAAAAGCAAGACAAGCACAAAACAGGGAGGAAACGCAAGAAAGGCATGAGATATCACAAAGAAGCAATGCAAAGCAAATGAAAACAATGAAAAGCCAGAAAAGCAGCAAGAAGCAGGAAAGACACGGAGAAGTGACTCTAAAAGAATATCCCTAGGCTCGAAACGAAACGAAACACAGAAACAAACAAATTAGCCCTTCCAAGAAAGAGAAAACAAACTACCTTGGCCTCAAGTCCTACAGGGTTGTCCTTCTGGGAAAGGGGTGCCGGCCATGTGCCGTGGTCGAAGGCTTTGGCCGAGCGCCGGCTTCGTAGGGAAGGAATCCAGGAACCTACGAAAAAAGAAAACGAGGAGCAAAAGAATTGGGGAAACCATGAAAGAAACTGTTCGTGAAAATGATGGAACAACTTTCAACTCTTCACTTTTCACACAGTTGAGTCGAAGCCGGTGAGTGAGGAGTCTCAGGAGCGGAGTTTTTCAGCAAGAAGGAAGTTCTTTCTTCCCACTACATACTCTCAACTACTTGCTGGGACTTTCTAGACCCTAGTAGTTGAGGGTATCCCACTACAGGGTGTTGAAGAATCGTGGATCGCGTCCATGTTGCGCACGTTGCGCAGGTTGCACGTTGCGCTGTCTCACGTGGACACTCATCCTTCGCCCCTCCAACATCCGAAGTGCACCGTTTGTTCCAACAAAAACCACAGCCGAAGTGCCGGATGCGCCCTGCGATGGGTCCACTAGTGTCACTAGTTCGCCACATCCACATGAGTGATCGAAGCATATGAGCCCGGCAAACGACGTGTGCCAGCACGCCAGACACACGGACCCCACACCCGAAAAGCCCCACCTGGAAAAGCAGCATGGCGAGAACAGGAGACGGGCGGTCGCTACATGTGAATGGGTGTGTCACCCGAAGGATGCTCGCCCCGCTCTTCGCTTGGCAAATTGTTATCAACTCTGGCATCTCTCCTCTTGATGTGTAGATACTTCTGAACAACTATTGCGCAACTGGAGCCCACCTTACCCAACCTGTGATGGTGGCTTTGCCACCGAGTGAAACCTACCTACAGCAAGCCAGTGGCTGCCCGAGGCTTGCGTCACGTACAAGACAAACCTATTCTGAGGCCCTGTCCCCGGGCCCTTTCTTAGATGATGCATTGAAAGCGGGCGGGAGTAGAGCCCTCTTGTGGGGAAAGAGCCCGCGCTGGTATATTTGCCTAAGTGTTTTTGCAGCAACATGGAAGCCACAACCATCCACAACCGCTCACAACCGGTCAACATGCAAGAACCTACGTCCCATTGCCACCAACCATGGGCAATGACAACCAACAGGTTTGCCGGATTGATTCCACAAAAGCAGGCAAATGGCAACTCACCCAAAATGTGGCCTGTACCCGGTCGACTCTGGTTTGTCTATCTACAGTGGTTTCAAGAGTAGACGGGACAAACCGACCCCATACCCCCTACATGTCCTTTACTGCGCTATCAACTCTGAAACGACATGTCACATGCCTTTATTACCCACATACCCCTACATACCCCCACTGTCCCCTACATGCCTTTTTCTGTACTTGTGGGTGACGATCATCTTCATCACCCAACCTCGTCACCCAGCGCTCGACCTGGTCCACTTCAACCCGCTGGGTGCAACGCCCGGTCTCGCGGTGCTGTTGCCCGGTCGGGCGGTGCTGTTGCTGGCCGTCCCCAATTCAGAGGCTCTGTGGGATCGGTGGCGCACGGTTTGGGAACATCAAAACCGTGGTATGGAATTGGCATCTTTGACGTCTGGTGCTCGAGGTGGGTGCTTGGGAGATGGAGTCTCATGATGTCTCGTGTCACCTCTGGTTTCCCGTCATTCAGGTGCATCAGGAGGTTGCCCTGCAGTGCTGGGGGGCAGTTTGTCAATTGAGTGCTGGGGCCTTGGTTCCTGCAAGTTTGGCAAGGCTCACGCACTCTATGATACTATGGTTCTGTTCTACCCAGATATCCCCGCCAAACTGCGTCATGGTTTTCCAAAGTGAAGTGACGTACAGCCAATCACCACGTGCTCCATCTCACAAAAAACAAGATGGAACCCACGAACCCGAATGCAAGCACGATCGAAAAACTAATATGTCCAAAGGACACTCTTGCGGGACACTCTGTAGGACACCCTTGTAGCACACTCTTGTGGGCCACTCTTGTAGGAAACTCTTGTGGGACACTCTTATAGGACACTCTTGTGGGACACTCTTGTGGGACACTCTTGTAGGACACTCTTGTAGGACACTCTTGTGGGACACTCTTGTGAGAAAATCTTGTAGAACACTCTTGTGGGTCACTTGCAGGACACTCTTGTGGGACACTCTTGTAGGACACTCTTGTGGGTCACTCTTGTAGGGACACTCTATGGGACACTCTTGTGGGACACTCTTGTGGGACACTCTTGTAGGACACTCTTGTGGGACACTCTTGTGGGACACTCTTGTGGTACACTCTTGTGGGACACTCTTGTAGGACACTCTTGTGGGATACTCGTGTAGAACACTCTTAAGGGACACTCTTGT